AAAATAAAAAATAAAAAAATGAAAAATCCAATTAATATTTGAATTTTCCAAATTTGAAACTTTCGAATCGACGCAGAAAAACATACAAGAAAAACAAGCGTTTTCAAGGCGTTGTTGTGCGTCGATATTTATGCTTTTGGTTGTTTTTTTTTTGGAGTTTTTAACTTTATTTCCATTGTACTACCCTGGAGCCATGTTAAGCGAGTCAAAAATTGCGTCAATCAACGCCCACGAGTTGCGCGCTGCTTATCAGCTCATTGTCTCGCCCAAATATTTTTCTTACTCCATAATTCCAGTTGTCTATTTGAACGCTTTAGGAACATCCCTTCTAATGGCGCAAGTATTGTTTTTGTAAATAAGTGCGGTCTCCAACAAAGCACCTCAATTTTTCGCCAAACTTTTGGAAATTTGATTCTTTGATTTATTGCGCGTCTTAAGATAACGGTAGAATACTGATATTATAACGGATTTTTTAAAGATAAAACATTTTGCAAATTGTACTAAATAGTGCGCGCAGTTCAGAGCCGACAAGCGAGATCGTAAACGATAATTTCTGAATAAAACCGAGTACTCGGATCGCTATACTGTTCTCCACATCTTGAAATCAAGGTAAAAAAATGTTTACAGCGGAATGTTGAATACGATAGAATCTGTTTCCTGTGATCAAGTTTTTAAAAAATTTGTACGAGAATACGTGGTCTGCACTGGGAAAGGAAATTAGTCTTTGCGTGGTCTGTTAAGTTTGAATTTCAAAGTTTATGGAGGTCGATTGGAGATTTAACTGAACTCTGCATGACGCGCTTGCTTTTAAGAAATAAGTTCAATATGGTTCTGATATAAGCTTCATTTTCCCGCGCAAAGAACGCAATTTACGATGTTGTCCTAGCAATTAACTGCAGCGCGTATCAACCCCAATTGTACGATCGCGCAATCTCAAAACATCGCGCAAAAAAATCTCAAAATGCATTGAAATGTTTTGAAATAGTTTTTGTTGTGCAGATAAGACATATGTTGCAGTAAATCTATCTCTGGCAAAGCAGCAACGATCCTAAAATATATTTTGCAATTGCGAGTAATCTATCGCAGTGTGTATCATTAGCTCTGGCTAACGATATTTCTAGCAGAAACATTTTTCTGCGACATGGGTTTAACTTACCTTCGTCTATGAAGAAAAGCAAACTCAAAACTACTAGGGGAAGCATTCTGGATTCTTTAGCACCAAGCTTTTCTCTTGTTTGTTTTTTTTATATACCACAAGCATTCAATCTGCGATACGTGTGCTTGGTTTTTCCTTGGAGTTTCTCGAATGAATGCTGATCATACTAGAGGCCGGTGCGTATGGGGGCGTAATAGAATATTTACCGACAGCTGTTGCTCTGTGTGTCGTGAACCAGGATCGCTGACTTACAAACCGTTTTAGAGGATTACATAGACGCCAAGTCAAAGTTCTGGGTTGTGAATAGCCTTGTTTACAAGATACGAAAGACTTAGTTTATTTATTGTATGAAGTCTTGGGGTAAAAAATACTTTTTTTCGTTAAAAGAAGGAAAACAAAAATGAAATTACTTGGACGTTTTCTGCAATACAATTGTCTACAGATCGTACTCCTCCCGTCGATGTCAAATGATCTGAAAGTTGGATTTAAATTTAAAGATCTCCAAGCTTGAATTCATCCGATTTGATTGTAAAAAGAGGAAACGTAAGACGTGAAAAATGATCTTCCGGAAATCAAGACTAGACGCCTCTACCTTGCTTCAATGATATACGACCCCAATTTCTGGTCATCTAGAAACGAAGCCAATTGGCAGTGACAGTGCCATACAACGGCACCAATGCTATGAAATTAGAGATTCACGATGCCAGGAATTCTTAAAGAAGATAAAAATAAACTCGAAAAAACCTCTTTAGGATTTTAAGTACCGTGTTTTGATATCATTTTCTCTATTAGTGCATTGGGTTATCACTAATTGATCGGATCCAATGGACTTCTACTAGCTTAGCCAATCAGAATGCAGGATTTGCAATATACCCCTAATCTATTTGTAACCAAGGCATGCACCAAAAACGCATGAATTTTGAAACAAAATAAGTAAAAGAGGGAGTTAAGACATCGAATACTATACCCAACAAAGACAATCTAGCCCACACATCCGGTGTCGCGTTTGCCTCCGGGCTACAAATCTTTTGTTTCGATTGTGATCAGACAATTCCCGTTAAGCCATAATATCATGTAGCCTGTACTTCATGATATCTTCACGTCTCGCTTACCTTGGATCTCATGCAGAAATTTTTTTCTAATTCCCTCTCTTTAACTTAGGAAAAAAATTCCTGTGCATTATGGGCATGGGCACGTAATGGTGCAAAACCGCGATTGCTAAAAAACAAATTCTGAAAAAGAGGACCCCGTCCAAAGTCTAAATATACAGACTAGTACAGAAAGTTCTATAAAAACTCATAAGCAAGATTTTGAAGCCAATCTTTTATGGCACCTTCAATGTTACATACGCTTTTATCCTACAAAATTTCAATGCAAAAAAACAAGCGAATAAGAGGTCTATAGACCACTTGCATTTGACGTCGAACTGGGGGACAAAACAAAAGAATGCCAATCTCCTGAGAATAGACCCTTTTSGAGTTCCAAATTACCGCTACGTTCCTTGATTACAGACTAGTGTACACAGAGTTAGCCTCGAGTTTGTGCAGAATATTCACGTGTTCCAGTCAAGGTCCGTCGAGTTTCAAAGTGTTTGTATTGTTGAACTTGTGCATCCTTTACTTTACCGTTGGTATTTGTGAGTAATTAGAGTATTTATTACATCCATTTTGAAATCACAAGCAAATCCTGCAATCTGATTGGTTCCCTGCAGCAGTGATTTCAGCATAAATTGCACGATTTTGAGCTCTAAATTGCACGATTTTGCACATCA